CACTCTCATGTAATGTGCTGGAATCACCTTATTTCTCAAGCAACACTTCCATTTCCTTACCACTCATCCATTCAGTGAGGCTTGCCAGATGTTTGAGCTCTGAACCTCAGTTCCTTGATTTCATTCACATTTAGTTCATGTTTTACAGTTTTATTTATTTATTTTTTTGGCACTGGGGATCAAACACAGACCTCACACTTGCCAGTGAATTGCTTACACTGCTGAATTAAGTCCCCAGAACCTAGTTCATATCTTAAGACATGAAACCAGAGGGCACACAGTGTTTAAAAAATATATTCAATATTAGGAAGATACACTCTGAATAAAACAAACTAGGTAAGAATTCGTATGCATATATTGGACAAGATATGAGATAATCTGTCTAAATTAAGCAAATGAACTTGGAGTTAATGAGAGTCAAGAGAGCTGAAGAGAAAATATCTGGTATTCCACAGGCAGGAAGATACTTACTAGAAAATACAGATCAGTCTAAAGGCAGCTCTGATACTCCTGGCCAAAAATATCCCTAGAGAACAGATAAGAATTAGGGACTCAGAGTGGCATTTTTCTCACAATGGAGTTGAAAGTGGCTCCACAGTTCATGAGTTACCCGTGCTTTCATGTTTCCTGTTGGAAATGGGAATAAGAGGGGGATCTCTTGCTTTCTTTTGTCTTCACTGATGTTGCTACCCGCGTAAACAATCTGGGCACAAGGCAGGTTTTTCCCATTTATGAAAAATGAGAGCAGCATTCAAGAAGTTCCATGATGATTGATTTTCTAAGTGGTAAGAGCAATATTTGACTTACAAGAAACATTTACATAATTTAATGACTTATGCCTTTTACTAATATTACCGTTTTAACTGAAATGAACTAAGCAGAGGTAAGTGTCTTTTGAAACAATCATTTTATTTGCTTCTTCCCTGATATGACAATAGGAATATTGATGCTCTGAGTTTAATTATCTTCCAGGTGAAACCTTGATGGAACGAACACTGCTTATTGTCCAGAGACAATGTTGTGCTCTGACAAATTTCTGCTTCTGTGTATCAAATTTTGAGTTGGTTGATGTGTCTTCCTTGCCTCTCTGTGATGACAGAATGCACCAAACATAAATACCACTTCCGGACCAGGGAATCATCACTTACCTTTCAACCAAGGGATCTTGCTATGTTTATCTTCAATGCGTCAAACCTCTTCCTATACTTTTGCCTAAAATTTGTTCTCCTTCTTCGTGGGCACAAGAGACTAAGTTATATTTATCTCTAATTCCCCCAGGAGGACATTCTTTTCCTACTTTCATTATGCTTTACACATTAGCACACACTTTGGTTTTCTATTCATCCACAGTCACTGCAATGCAAAAACAAATAATTTTTGCTTTCTATGAAAAAGAAAATGTGAGCAGACATCTGTTCTGTTGCACAATACACAGGATAATCATGTATATGTACATCATTCGGGTATTTGAATCCTAGTGTGTGATGGAACCAAATCAATATGAAAAACTTTGTTTGAAACATGGATTCTCTTTGGGGATGCTATAACTCCTATTTCTCTAAATTAATTAGTTGGACTATGAACACGCCGAGGTACTACAATTGCCCTAGAAACACAACGCTAAGGAAATATTATCCCTTAAAACATCAGAAAAGGGAAAGATAGCTCTTGATCAACAATAGGAAGAACCAACATCATAAAAATAACTATAGTCTCAAATTTTTTGTACAGCTTTAATGGAATCCTATTCCAAGTACCATTAGCATACCCACAGGAACAGAGAAAACATTTTGAAAATTCAGTTGGAACCAGAAGAGACCTAGAATAGCAAAAACAATTCTGGACAGCAAAGGCAAGGAAGGGAGAATTACAAGTCCTGACTTGAAATTGTACTACAAAACTACCATGATAAAAACTACAGGATGTTGGTAAAGAAAAAGAGAAAGAAAGAAAGAAAGAAAGAAAGAAAGAAAGAAAGAAAGAAAGAAAGAAAAGAAAGAAAAGAAAGAAAGAGAGAAAGACCCCTGATCATCAGTTGAACTGATCAGAAGATGTATAAATGACTCCAAACACGCTCTGACATGTTATCTTTGACAAAGGAGCCAAATATGGTCAATGAATAAAGATAGTTGTCTTAGTTCCTTTTTACTCGTTACAGAGACAAATTACCTGAAATCCAAAGTTGGGAAAGGAAAGTTTGATTTCTTACACACTTTGGAGGTTTCAGTCCACACTTAGTTGGCTCCAAGGCAACCGGGCATGGCTGGTCCGCAGTTCATGGCGGTTGCAAACAACAATCAGGAACCAGCAAAGAGCAAGACACACCTTCTTCCTGCCATTACATCACATCCTGGCTACACCCCTATGTGTGTGTGTGGGGGAGGGCTGACACCATCAATCCAAGCACTAGAAAATGAAGCATCAAAAATGCACAATCCAAACTTATGGAGCCTGGGCCCACAGACATAATCCATGACAATAGTCTCATTAATCAATAGTGCTAGAAAACCTGGCTTTCAAATGTCAAAGACTAAAACTAGGTCCAGTTCCAACACCATGCACTCAAGTAAAACTGAAATGGATCAAAGCTCTAATTTTTAAAATGGGAATACTAAATGTGCTGGAAGAGACCATAGGCGCAACTTTCAAGACATAGTTACAGGCAAAGATTTCATGAACAGAACACTGGTCACACAGGAAATAATACAAAAAAATCAATAATTGGGATATCATTATAATAAAAGACTTCACATATCAAAGGAAATCACCAATGGAATGAAAAGACAACAAGCCACACAGTGGAAAAAATTTTCAACCAGTTGTTCTTCAAAAGACATATATCTGTAACATATAAAGAATTAAAAGAAATTAGAACCACCCAAAATTAAAGACCCACTTCAAAAATGGACACCTGTCAGGAATAACACTTGTCAGATGAAGAAATTCAAATCACAAACAAATATATGAAAAACGTTCAACATGACTGGATATTACAGAGATGCAAATAATATTATACTGTCATAAAATTGTACTGCACATAATGTGAGTATCGTCAAGAAATGAACCAGTACTGGAGGGGATGTAGGAAAAGGGAAGCATGCTCCAAATTGATGAGAGTGTAGACTGGTACAACTACTGTGGAAACTAGTATGGAGACTCCTCAAAAAACTAGGATTACAGGTTCCATTTAAGTCAGCTATTTGCCTTCTGAGCTTCTCCTATACCACAGTGATATATGCACACCCAAGTATATAGCACCACAGTTTGTAATAGCTAAATCTTGGAAACAAAACCAGGGTTCATCAACTAAGGAACAAATTAACAAGTTGTGCAGGGTTTTTAAAAAATACAACAGAATCTACTAAAGCAAGAAAAAAATTGAGCCATTTCTAAGTAAACAGACACAACTTGACAACATACTCTTAAGAAAAATAGATCAGATTCGTGTGTGTAATCACTGCATTGTCCTATAGATAAACTGAAAAAGTAAATAATGATCGAAATACACAACAGATATTGTGAAACAGAAGAAAATTTCCAGAAGGAAGAGACCAACTGATGTGGGGAAAGGCAGAAAGGAAGGAAGGGAAAAGGAAAAAATGATTACAAAAAGATCATATAGAAAAAATTTGTAAATAGGAAAGGGAAGAGGTGTTGAAGAAAAGATAAGGGATTGGGAAAAAGGAATCAAAATATTTAATATACAGGTATAAATTTTGTATCATTACTAAAATCATTACATTTGTCCAAAATGTAACAATGAACAATTCCTAAAATTGTAAAAGAAGAAGTCCCTAAGTGGACCCTTATTTTACAAACTAAGTTGTTTTCAAGAGCTGATTATATTTCAAATTAGATTTAAGCCAAGACATTTTCCACAAGAAATAATAGAAATACCTGTTATACACTCCAACCCTAACTAGGAACACCTTAACTAAACTTTTCATTATAAAACGGGTTATACACTATGCATGATTTATCAGAAATACCAGTCACCTTCCTCGTGTACTTACAAAGAATATGCCTAATTTCATGCTATACACACCATTCAAGGTGACATGGTTTTCAAGAAGAAGAGATGGAATGGAAAGTGGTTCTTCTTTGGAAGGAGATTCATCTTTCATAAGAACATCAGGAATCTGGCTTTCACCTACATCTGGGCTCAACGGATGTTTCCTAGGCTTAAAGAGGCTTTTCAGGAATAGTGAGTTTTTGTTTAGCACGACGTAAGTGCCTGACATTTGGGTTGTAAATCAAAATTTTGATGGTGACTTGAACCTAAGCTTTGGATCTAACCCAACCTGCTGATATATGAAGGCAGACATAACTGAAACATCCACTGTGACACATAACTTCCTATTATGTGTCTTTTATTTCTCATTCTTGAAAAAAATACAACGTATAATTTCATGGGTCTTATTTCAGTTAACATGAGGACACAGGTCTCTCAATTATTCACATATAACTCAAGTTTATATCTTTCATCATGGCAGAGTAGCACTCCACAGTGTGCAAATACATAAGCTTTATACATTCATATGTTGTTGGAAATAAAGGAAGCTTTCAAGATATACCAACAGTAAATATTGCATTATACAATTTTCAGCTTAAAATTTTTCTATAACCATCTTAATGCTATGTTTAATTAAAAACTTTTCACTTTTTAAGTGTAAAAACACAAATTAACTCCATAAATATTGCATACCCGTGCCTTTGAATTGTAATCAGAAATTCATTTACGAAACCAATATCTACGAGAGTACAGAGTGAAGGTAGTGATGAAAGCAAAGTGGTGACAAACTTTACTGAAAACTCCAGTAGAGAAAGCAAAAAGGAACAGGAAACCAGAAGTAGAAAATAAAGGAAGGACGTTCAGAAAATGAAGCTGCTACGTTCCCTATTTAAGTCGTCTGAGCACATCAGGTCTTCAGAGAACCCACAGGCAAAGGTTCAGGATCACACATCCATCTCAAACAGCCAAGCAGCATCAGCAGGATCCCATGGCCTGGCCATTGACTGGATTGATGGCCCTGCCTGTGCTGACCATCATGGCATCCTGCTCTCTGGCCTGCACCCTGCCTCTGACCTATATGCAGGGGAACACAACAGCCTTGAGTCTTCTGGAACAAATGAGGAGAACCTTCGCTTTCTCCTGCCTGAAGCACAGACAGGACTTTGGCTTGGCCCTGTTGGACTTTGATGGCAAGCAGGTCCAGAAAATTCAGGCTCTCTCTGTCCTTCATGAGATGACCACGCAGACCCTAATCCTCTTCTCATCACACAACTCACATGCTGCCTGGAACCAGAGTCTCCGTAGAACCTTCTGCGATGCCCTCCGTGATCAGATGAATGACCTGAAGGCCTGCCTGACCAAGGAGACAGGGCTGGAAAACCCTTCCCTGTGGCATGAGGACTCCAGAAATGCTGTGAAGAAATACTTCCATGGGATCACTGACTACCTGAAGGAGAAGAGCTACAGCCCTTGTGCCTGGGAGGTGGTCAGAGCAGAATTCTTCAGATCCTTCTCTTCCTCAGAAGAACTGTTGAGAAAGATGCAGGACTGAGGAATGAGTCCTCGTTTAATATGGAAACTATTGGCATCTGTTGCATCACACTTTGACGATTCTGTCATTTCCAAGATTCTCATTTAAGCAGTATTCATAACGTGCTGTATTTGTCCAATGTTTTCAGGAGTACTGGGCAACATTGTTATCATCTCTACATGGAGTATTTTTTCCAGCTCCTTTTTCAAACATAAAAGTATTTATTTATTGGTGTATTTAAGATTTATTTAACTATAAGACATTTTGTGTTTACTATGCATAAAATATGCAGACTTCTAACTTGCAGTTAATATAATAAAACATGTTCTTTGCATTTGTTCAATTTGCTTTTTCCACTTGATTTGTGTCATGTGAACACCTCCTATATGTGTTTGTTCTTTAAACGATACTTCAGATGGCAGAGTAGCAAGCAACAAATAGCCTCTTGAGAGACACCATCTAGAATTGGACATTCACCATCCTGAAGAAGACAAGAAATAAGAAAATCGGTCCCCTGGACATAGAAGAGTCTGAAGTCTGAATTGAAGCTCACAGAGACAGTGAAAAGGAAAACTTCAATGAAGAAGGCATTAGCTGGTGGCAGCTTTGCCAGGAGTCAGACTCACTGCTTGAAGGCAGCTGTTGGAACCTGGGGACACATGGTGGTACTGGCAACTGGCAAACACTCAGGCCTCTGTGGAAAGTTTTGGTAGCAAAGGGGAGCAGTGGACTTGGAAAACTTTGCTGAATGATATTGAGTGCCACGGACTTGGTCCTCCTGAAGGAAGAAGCCACTGGCTGGCAGCCATTTTGGAGTTGGGCCAGATAAGCCCAGAATGAAGAATATTGATTGCTTTCTCCAGCAGATTGTAGCTGGGTACAGAACTATGGAAAATGCTAGGACCGTGGTCAGCCCAATCAGTCTAGTCTGAGGGCAGGCTTGCTAAAGTTCTCTATTTCCCTTAAAGTAACTCCTTGATTGTGGGGATTAAGTAACAGGATTTTGGATGCTGTCTCCATAGGCTCCACTAAGAATCCTGGAATTGGACTATTTTTTGGTTTTGTTTTGTTGTTATTTTTCTTTTCTTATTTGTTTGTTTTAGTTAGTTTTTTTTTATCATTCTTTCTCTTTTATTCTTTTTTTTTTTTTTTGAGCTAGAGTGTGGTTCTTAACCTCCTCGTGGGTGTGGTTTTGTTGTGTTCTACCTTTTACCTTTTATCAGCTCTGTTATTTACTTCAGTCTTCTGCATAAGTGTCCCCAAGTTGGTGGGATGCAAACTGCTTGTAATCTTTTTGTTTTCCCACTTCACCAATTTCTTTAATCCATCTTGACTCTTAAGCCTTGGGACAGAATTGATTTATTACACATTTATATATTGTACACAATTATTTTGCATTCTTTTGGAAAGATATCATAAGACATTTAAACAAGACATAACCTCAGACATTTAGTTCACCAAAAGCAAACCCAGGGAACAGTGAGGCTGGAAAATCTGAAAACCCCCACCAGGTCGCCAAAAAGTGATAACAAAGCAATTGAATGATGCTCCGGAAAAAATGAACTCAGAAATAATCTCTCAAATAAATACAGAGATTACCAAAATTGTTTAGCGATGTTAGAGGAAACACAGACAAAAAAAAATATATGAAATTAAGCAAATTATGAGAGGTAAGATAGGAAAGAAATGGAAACCATAAAGCCAATTCAAGCAGATATCTAGGAGAATAAAAACTCTCAAAGTATTCAAAGCAAATTAGGCGAATGTGAGCACAGAATGTCAAATATTGATGACAGGCTTGCAGTTAGTGACCAGGAAAAGAAAGATTCCTCAAAACTAGCCAGAGAATGTGAGAAATCAACCCAGCAGCCACTAGATGAGAAAAAGAGGAATAATTTAACATTATTTGCAGTCAATGGCCAAGCAGGATATACCACAAATGACATTTAAAATATGTTCACAGACATTGTGACAGAAAACTTTCCTGGTAGAGAAAAATACAAATAAGTGAGACATACAGAACTGCATTATCAATGATCAAAACAGTTCTGCATCCAGGCATATCATAGTCAATATTCTAGAAATTCAATACAAGAATAGAATTTTAAAAGCTGTTAGGGAAAAGAAAAACTCACTTATAAAGGAAAATTCTTCACCATTACAGCTGACTTCTGATCACAAACTGTCAAGTCTAGGAGAGCTTGGAATGGAGTACTGCAAGTTTTAAAGGAAAACAACTTTCAACCCAGATTAACATATGCACAAAATTATGTTACAAAATTGATCCTGAAATAAGATACTTCCATGACAAAGAACAGCTCAGGAAATTTATGACCGCCAAACCAGCACTCAAAAATGTTCTAAAGGACATTCTAGAAAGAGATAAAAAGGACTACAATTCCATGGACCCCAAAAGAAGAAATCCACCAGAGAAGGCAAACAACTAGAGGGAAGGGAAAAAAAGAAAAAGGTGGGAGGGCGCCAATAGTAGGAAAACAACATGACAAAAATAAATCTATAAATATCAGTTTTAACCATCAAAGTTAAAGGGCTCATTGCACCAGTCAAAAGACACAGACTGGCAGAATGAATCAAGAAGCAAGATGCAATAACATGCTAACTACAATATATACATGTAATCCAAAATGAAAGTCTAAGGATGGAAAACAATACTCCATGCAACAGACATTCAGAAAAAAGCAGCGGTTGTTATTCTATTTGCAGATCATGTGACTTTCAAGCCAAGACTGAGTAAGAGAGAAAAAGAAGGTCAGTACATTCTGGTGAAGGGAATTGTCAAAGAGGGAGATGTAACAATCATAAAGATATATGGAAAAAATATTACTGCATCTAGCTATATAAAAAAAAACATTCCTAGGCACGAACAATCAAGTAAGCCTTAATACAATTGTATTGGGAGACCTTAATACCTCACTCTTATAAAAAGACAGAGCAACTAGACAAAAACAATTAATATTGAAAAAATTAGAACTAAATCAAAACTTTGAGCAGATGGACTTAGTAGATGTCTACAGAGTGTTCCAGCAAACAACATCAAAATATACATAATTTTGAGCTGCACAAGGGACATTCCCCAAAATAGAACATATGCTGGCTCATAGAATATCCTTAGTTAAATGTAAAGGAACTGAAATTATCCCACACATACTATCAGCCCACAGTGCAATGAAATTGGAAATCCATGACAAAGAAACAACAAGAACTTCATCAACACATGGAAATTAAATAGCACTCTAATGAACAATCAATGGGTAACAGATGAGTTTAAAGAAGAAATTAAACAGTTTTTCAGTTGAATGATAATGACAATACTACATACTGGAACTTGTGGGAAAAAAAATGAAAGCAGTCTTAAGAGGGAGATCTATAGCACTAAATCATATCAGGAAAAGGAAAGCACATATAAACAACTTAATGTTGAACCTCAATTTTTAGAAAAAGAAAAGCAGGCTAACCAAAAGCCAGTAAAGGGAGAAAATTATAAGTATCAGAGCAGAAATTAACACATTGGAGACTAAAAAAAGAATTCAAAGGATCAACGAATTGAAAATTTGGTTATTGAAAAAAATTAAATAAAATTGACAAACCTTATCCAGAAAAGGAAAGAAGACTCAAATCCATGCAATTACAAATGAACAGTGTAAACTTACAAGAGACACTGCAGAAATCCAGAAAAGCATCTATACCTACTTTGAAATATTGTATTTTAATAAGATGGAAAATACAGAAGAAATGGACAGATTCCTAGAAACATATGAATTACTAAAGCTGAATCAAAAAGACATAAAAATTTTGAATAACCCAATATCAATAAATGAAATTAAAGATGTAATTAAAAACCTATCAACAAAGAAAAGCCCAGGTCCTCGTGGATTCACTGCTTAATTCTACAGGAAATTTAGCGAAAACGTAACACCACTACTTTTCAAACTCATTAATGAAATTGAAAGGGAAGCAATACTCTCAGATCCATTTCTAGAAGCAAGCATTCCTCTAATTCCAAAAACAGAGAAGGACCCAATTAAGAAGGAGAATTACAGGCCAAACTCACTAATGAACATTGATGTAAAATCCTTACTAAGATACTGGCAATCAGACTACAGCAAAATGTCAAAAAATTGTACCACGATCAAGTGAGATTCATCCCAGGGTTGAAGGGATGGTTCAACATACAAAAATCCATAAATGTAATACATCATTTTAGCCAGAGCAATTAGACAAGAGGGAGACATCAAAGGAATAAAAAAAGGAAAGGAAGAAGTTAAATTATCATTATTTTCAGATGACATAATACTCTACCTAGAAGACCCAAACACTACACCAATGAATTGCTAGATTCAACCAGCAAATTTAGTAATGTAGCTGGTTACAAAGTCCAAATTCAAAAATCAATAGCCTTCTAGTACACAAATAGCAAATGCACTCAGAGAGAAATAGGGAAACATTACCCTTTACAATAGCATAAAAAAATTGAAATAGCTAAGAATTCATCAAATGAAAGATTTAAAATACCTTCAAGTTGAAAACTATAGTACTCTGAAAAATAAAATTGAAGTAGATATTATAAATTAGAAAGATATACCATGCTCTTGGATAGGAAGAACATGTATAGTGAAATTGGTTATACTTCCAAAACTGTTATACAGATTCAATGCAATCCCAATCAAAATTCCAGTAGCATATCTTACAGAAAACAATGCTAAACTTCATCTAGGATCTGAAGAGATCTAGAATAGCAAAGGACATTGTTGGCAATGAGGTGAAGATACGGGCATATCGATTCCTGACTTGAAATTATACTATAAAGCTAGTGTGTTAAAAAAAAAAAAAACTGTAGTACTGGAAAAAAAAACTTATGAAGATCAATCGAATAGATTAGAAGACACAAAAATAACTGCAAATACACAAAGCTACTTTGTATTTGACAAAGGTGCCAAACACATTCTCGAAAGAAATATAGTCTCTTTAGCAAATGGTGTCGGAAAAACTGGCTTTCCACA